AAGATAAAGAAGAAACATCGTAACGCCAGGCCGAAGAGGCATCATCACGGAACGGAGCACGTACTCAAGATAAATCTGCGTCAGACAAGACATCGTATGCGGATTATCAAGCTGCAATCTGCCATAGAGGTAATTTTTGCGTAATTTCGGTCGATTTTAAGATGAATTTCATCTTAAGAGATGCTTGGTAAAAAGAAGTTTTTAAAATATTTAAAAAAATTTTCATATTTATAAAGATTACGAAAAATATCTTAAATTTCTTCAGATTTTATAAGTTTTTTTTTATAGAAGTTATACAATGAGAAATCTTAGAATGTTTCAGAACATATATAAAAATTCTTTAAAAAATGTAGATTCTCTCGGCATTCCTGAAAAGTATTTTAATTTGTAAAAAAATTTTCTAAAAAATTATAAAATTATATGAAGGTTCTGAAAAATGTAGAAATTTCGAAAGATTATATAGAAGAATTCTAAGAAAAAGATTTGCTGGGGATCTAACTTGAGATTTGGTTACGAAGTTATTTGATACCATTGTAGCTGTAATTGCGAGCTTTTCAATCGAAAATGACCGACGATTATTACTCTATAGGACGAAGACGTAGATTATACTATCGTTCGGGGCAACAACAACGGACATTTCGAGATCATCAAGGAACGCGGTGTTTCCGCCCTACACTTCCGGCACCGGCTGAAAAGTCCTGGCGACTTTCGTTTAGTTATCCACGGTCGTCCTGAAAACACGACAGCAACGAGAACAGAATGGGAGAAACCGCTGACTTTCACGATCCGTCTCATAGTCACGGAATAAGATCGTCGGAAAAAGGATCCAAAATAATCGGATTGTGTGAGAAAATCACTGCCCGACACTGCGTAACGCTTTCTCTTAGTCAATTTTGCATAATTATCTCAAGCTACGGCAAAGTATTAAAAGCACCAACGTACGTAAGAGAGGGACGCGAATACAGGATGACACATACAGTCAGTAATACAAGAGCGTAGTTATAAGTTCTTTTTGAAAGAAATATATTAAAAATTAAATACATATTGTTGCACCCGTGTGACCATTTCGCGACAACACACTCGGGTAAGCGTACTCGCACATCCGAGCCACAGAAATAAAGAAACATTCGTTATAAAAGAACAGGACTCTTTATTCAGAAGTAGAACACAGCGTACGAAAGTAAAGAGCAAAAACGGGCAAAGCACGTCCGAACACGACGACGTCTCAAATCTGATCTTGTTGAAACGAACAAACTCTTCCTGGCAACGCTCTTCAATGTCACGGTACAGGCGTTATACTGCCCTCTTTCTTGTAGATTCTCGTCCCGACAATAGTGGGTGTCGTCGTTTCCACAAGGACAACGTTGGCTCTCCTCTAAAGGAACTCCCGGACTCCCGACCAGCTTCCTGCTTCCCTACTGTACTGCTGCCACAGTTTGCCGAAGCACTAGTCTTCCTGGAGCCCATTCCTTTCTGACTAGGGCTTCTCTTTCCTTCTGAGCAGGACCCTTCTTCATTTCCTCCCTAAAAGGTAGCTAATCTTCCGAAGGAACACGCTCAGGGCATCCCTTCATCTTCTCGAAGGAAATTCTAATTTTCTTGCCTCTTCTCTAGAAGCTTTGCGTTTTCTCTCTTTCTTTTTTCAGACAGCCTCTCATGCTGCTCATGAGATTTTCTGCTAAAGTTTTAAGTAGAAACCTCCAAACTTTCGAATGTGCCAAAGATGTTTCAAAATAAATATTCGTGTTTCTCAAAGCTTCACCTTCGTGATTGATCGCATATTTTTAATCGGATTTGCATCCGGAGATTAGGTAGGCCAATCCATCAAACGATGTTATTTTTACATTTGTAAACATTTCGTAAAAAGCATGTCTCAGAAAGTATGATGAAAAGTTATAATTAATGATATTGGTTAATGATGCCATAACTAAGTAAATCCATTTTAGTGAATGTAATGTACTTTTAAAATATAACTTTAATTTTTAATATACGATTCCTTTCGGAGAACTGTACCGTTGACTACGCCCTTGTGCTACTATTTGTAAAAACCAGAAATCGGTAAAAGAGAACACCCTCTTCTCAAACAAGTTTAAAATTTTTAATAAACAACGATCGAAGTGGAGCGCCTTGACCTTTTGTGTTCAATTGCGTGCGGAATGCATTATTTAACTGCCAGATAAATATATTATGTTACAAACGATTCTTTACGACTGCTATCTTATGATGTTTTCGTTATTTTCACACTGCCAATATTCCCAATCGTACTTAGGGATGATATTCATAGTTCGACCTAGTATTCAAAATCATCTCAAGTCTGATCATGGATAATCTTAAGGGGAAGTGACGGAAAAAACTTTTTTGTATTTCCATTGAAGCAAATGAAAGTATTATGTATTTTGTATTTAAAAAGGATTAGAAATTTCTTTTGCATTTTGTAATTCAAATAAAATTGATTGTCAATCTTAGTATTTGAATTACAAAATACAAAATACTTTTATATGTTCCCATGGAATACAAAATACAAAATATTTTTATGTATTCGCTGGAATACAAAATACAAAATATAATTGTCTAAAGATGCTTCCAGATGATATGGCCAACATATGTCAATATTAGCAAATATCATACATATACATGACATACATATTATAATTATCCATATTGAACGTAGTCAATATTTAGCGAATGTGTGTAAAGTCGGCTTATACATTGGCCATATCGTCTGGAGCTTTACACAAATAGAACATTTACACAAAGATATAAAAGATAATCACGTTAAATGAGTTACCTTGTACAAGATCAGATTATGAATACCAACCTAAGATTTGATGTTTTATCTTTCCTGATAGTCAAGAATTTATATATTGAAATAATCTTAATAAATATTCTATCAATGTTAATTAATCGCCAACGTTTATTAAAAATCAATAGGTACAAATTTATAATCAATAATTCTCTGTGCGTCGTTAAGAAACAAGTGTTCTATCAATTTACTGCCCTTATAATTATTACGTAAATATAATACAATTAGATTAGAAGTAACATGCTAGAGATGTACAAACGCTAGATTACTATAGCTTTAAGCGAGCGAACGCACGTGTACACATATATAAAAAAAAGATATAGCTTTATATATTTATAAATTTTAGCTTGGAACGCGGCACGAATGTAGTCCCATGTACAAAATTAGTACACTTTGTGCTTAAATCTCAAAGAGAATTTCTTATAATACAATCACCAACATATGGTCGCTTATATAATGTATCTACGTTATTACTTCGTGGCCTACATCATAGTAAGAATTTTAATTATGTATAATATACTAAAAACATGTCGGTATAATAAAGATGTGAATAGAGTTTATTTAAAGCGGCTTTCTTTTCTCTTTCTTTGTTAAATTTATTGTTTCATGTTTCTCTTTCAGTGGAGTACATAGATATGCAAATATTTTCATTATCTTTAAAGTAACTTTATTTATTCATATTTTATAAACAAGAATGTATTTTTAATATTCTGTGATCCGCTAACAGAATAGATATCCGATATTTTCCAGATATCCGACCGGATTCCAGGACAATGACTATAAGGAAAAATAGTGATAATAATTATAATTTTAATGTTATCGTCCGAGTTTGATCAATTATAGAGATGATAGCTCCAGAGAAAAAAATTGGAATTTTTCGGCAATATATAAGATATTATAGCATTAAAAATATGCATACTTATATTATTTATATAGCATTTATGTAATAAAAAATCACGAATTTAACAATAACTTATCGAAATATTTATGTTAATAATCGTCAATTTTTATTAATTGTCGGTAATATCATTGTTCTTTATTTATTCCTGGGCATCCTGAGCTCCATTAATAGTCACAAAAATTTGCCCAAGGCCAACTGTTTTTAATAGTATCTCATCCGTGAAAATACTAAAGTCAAACAAAACTTCTCAAATAATTTAGGTAATCGGACAACTTCCATATCACGTTGGAAACTACCAGTTCTCGTCCGATCACTGAAGTCAAGCAACGTTGAGCATGGTTAGTACTTGGATGGGTGACCGCTTGGGAACACCGTGTGATGTTGTCCCTTAATTTTTTATTTTTTGCCAAGCTAAAAAAAAACAATATGTTGAAATATTATGAATTAATTATCTCAACATATGGTCTTTTTTCAGCTTGGCAAAAAATAAAAAAATTAAAGGACAACATCACACGGTGTTCCCAAGCGGTCACCCATCCAAGTACTAACCATGCTCAACGTTGCTTGACTTCAGTGATCGGACGAGAACTGGTAGTTTCCAACGTGATATGGAAGTTGTCCGATTATCTAAATTATTTGAGAACAGTTTTGTTTGACTTTAGTATTTTCACGGACGAAATACTATTAAAAACAGTCGGCCCTGGGCAAAATGTTTTAACTATTAAGGATTGATCATTGATTCTTTTGATGACTTTAATACTCTTATTTAATAACCTTTTATAATTACAGAAGTCATGTTATATAAAAGAAGTTGCACAATTCCATTTTTTAAAATAGCATAACTTTCATGTAACTATGCAAAATCGATTTCTTCGGAAATTGATTGTACCATTACTATCAGACCATATACCTTTTGACTGAACATTGTTGCAACAATATATTGTAATGTTTCCTACAAAATATTAGAAATATAATAGTTCACAATATTGTTGCAGTATATATTTCAAATAAAATATTAGAATTTCAATATTGCAGCAATATTACTGTAATTTTTGTAATATTGCGCACTATTAAAATATTGCTGCCGCAATATTTCGTGTTGTAAAAGTAATTATGTAACTTATAAAAAATGTCTTTTAAATATTTAAAAAATTCTTATCATTACAAGCGATATTTAATATAGATTACCAAATTGTCTGCCGTTTATTATTAAACATGATAAAATTGTAACAAATTTTACGTCAAAATATAACAAAAGATTCTTTCAATATCGGGTAAAAATTAAACATTAAAAGAAATAAATTAAAATAATACAAAAATGTTTTAATCTTCGAAAAGCACTCCAAACTTGTACGTCATGTCGTGCGTATACATCTTTCCAGGATGCAGCATGCAGGACGGAAAGTGTTCAATATTATCAGCATTAGGATAATTTTGGGGCGATAAAACAAATCCGCCATGACGACGATAGGGAACACCTCCTTTGCCATAAACTTCCGTTGCTTTCTCCTTTGCAATTTCCTTCGTCTATTCAAAATATGTAATACTTTCAATAACTAACAAAATATATTTAAGCTTTTTGTATAAAAAAATATTAAACTTTTAAATCTCGATAGAAATTCAAGGCGCTAATAATAAGTGTTTCACTGTTAAAACAAATGCAACAAAATTAGGAAATTTAATTTATATATTGACCATCAAACTGTTTAACATCTTTTACCTTTAGAATTAAATTAAAACTATTTAAAAGAATATTTGTCTTTTTTTATTGTTAGAGATATTATAACATTTTCACAGCCCCGTGAAGACTAAATCGACAAATACAATATTAATTTATACTATGTTTCATTTAATACTTCAATATTGATTTTAAAGTTATATTACTATATTTATTTCAAAAACTACTTATTTTAAAAGTAAGATAAATACTTAATTACAATCACACATTTTACCGATTTCCAGGAATTAATTTGCACATTCTTGCGGTTTCCCCATTCACGATCTTCTAAATCAGGAGGATAAATGTGTTGGTGTGGTAACTCGTTTCCTGTATAGACTTGTAATCCAGGATTATTCGAGTAAACCTCCAAAAATCGTCCGGAAGTAGGATGCAAAATTCTTTTCATACAATTTATGAAACAAATTGATTAAAAAAAAACATCTTGTTAAATTAAATTCGACGTCGGATAATGCTGGAAGATTACCGAGCATGGAAACGATAACACCAGCTGCTGGGACTATTGACGCATAAATTGTGGTTGTAACCACTACCCGGTATATCATACAATCGACGTTGGTTCAACTGTGCTGGTAAACGTAGTTCGCACGCTGTACCATCCACCGGACATATAACACTCGGCAAGTTATTTTTGACGTCCATGAAGATCCAACTGTCGGCGTTGACCGTGAGGATGTGTTTCTTCAACTCCTTCGAACCTGTACCCTATCAAATTGTCTCTCAGTGCCATCTTACATAGAAGGTATAGTAGCACATAGAAAAAGCATTAAGACGTAAGCAATATAAGCAAATCGATATTTTTTATTTCTTACTGTTTACGTTATGCCTTATACTGTCATTGGCTGACTCGCTTAATGCTTACGTTTTACGTTTTTCTGTGTGCCGTGGCCCTTAGAGGTTTTCTATACAAATGGTTTCAATTGGAAAATAAATTTCAATTTCTAAGTTTAGATTTCTGATCCTTTCCTCCTTCAACTACTTTTTTAAATTCTGTACGTCTGGCTTTTAATTTTTAGAAATAATGAATACTTTCATAATTATAAAGTTGAAAGTTTCATAATCGTAAATTGTATAAAAATTTTTTTTAATTATTGCACTTTGTATAAATTGATGAGGCAACAATTGATTTTAATTTTTTTCGATTTAGAAAATTCATGCATCCAAAGCTAAAAAGATAATTCGAATATATTATTTATATGTTAGTTTTTTTTATTGTAAGTCCCATATTGCTATCTCGGATAAATGTTGTTATTTTTAAGAAAAAAAAAAAGAGATCGATTCTTTGTACTTATGTCTTACATGTCCTGCGAGATTGAACAAACAGTAATTAGTGATGTTGACGGGAGTAGAACTTGTGCTGGTGGCACGAATGTTAATGTGAAGTTGATTATCGTCCGTCCAGGTATATTTAATTTGCGTTAACACATCACTGGGATATCCCTGGCTATACCTTTGGCTCAAATGCGACATCACCTCGTCGAAGAACAAAATATAAAACGAGCAATAATTTTAACAATTTCGTAGCTCACTTTCAGGGAATAAGTTACATCGTACCACTCGATTGTTCACTATCTGCGACTGCCAATTAGTATTGTCGAACGCGACCGTACCGCCATTGAAACGATCCTTTCCAGCCCTGTCATTAATCGACAAAGGATAAATTACGTTGTCGAGATGCATCGTACCACCGGAAATGCAATTGGCAACGCGGTCAATGATGCTTCCCATGTATCTGTTCTTCAAATATCCTAATTATATCAGCAACAATAGTAAATACTTAGTTAAAATATAAATTATGTGTACTAAGTACTTTAATATTACATAATTTGAAATGTAATTAAATCAAAAAGAGGAAAATATCATATGATAACATGATCTAATTAACATGCTTAATTAATCTTCCTTTAAAAGACTATAATGTTTGTTCAAGCAAAAAGTTTACCATCCATATTATCGAATCCTAAAACAACGTCGGCCAGTTTACCATCTCGATTAGGAACTTTGATTGACTGAATACTAGCACCCCAGGATATCAGACGAACAATCGCCTTGTGTTTATTCGTTAGAGTGTACCTGTCCATGTCAGAAGAGACATTTACGATCAGTATAACATATTAATTAAATAGAGACAGTTTTCTAACGTACAGAAAGTATCTAGATTGCTTATTTTTATTAATTGTCTATTCAAATTTATAAGCAAAGAAATTCGTCATAGTGTCTGCAGAATTTCTTTTGCCCCAATAATAATTATTCCAAATAAAACGATTCAAACAATTAGCTGTAGCTTAACTGTAGCTTTTGCATAATTAACGATAATCTTATGATACCTTCTAACGATTTCGCGCGATTTTTCCAATTCTGTACCAGGTAACCTTGCCACAAATCCAAAGCCGTCCTCTTGAATCAAAGTATCTCCGAAAGACATGATTCGACGCTCAAGTAAATATTAAAACTTTAAAAACTAGTTATTCTTTCTCTTCATTCTTTAGATTACACTATTTGCGCCACATATTCTGATTTGTCGTGATAAAAGAAAATCTGATTGAAACGATTACGCTGAAATTTGATTTTGAGAGAAACGTCTAACCTCAAATTTAAAGTGTTGAAGTCAGCAACTTTAAATGCATAAATCCAAACTTCCGTTTTATTAATCAAAACATCGTCAATTTCTGCATTTTGCCATCTTGACATTTTTATACAAATATTTGCGAATAAATTAATTGCAATTTTTATTCAATATAAAGATATAATTAAATTTTTGTTATAACATTAACATTTGAAGAGTGACGGAATAAAAAGAAAAATTTATTTTTACATTTAATTTTAGCTATAAATTAAATTTAAGACCAACACAATTCTCATAAATAGTAAGCGTACTTTACATTATTATTTAGCTATTTATATTATTGAAAATTTTATCAAATGACATTTATTTTTTACAAACGTTTAAAAAAATTTAGTAGCACCAATTTTCAGTGGCCACCAGAATGTTACTAAATGCTAAATGAACATCATAGTAACTATAACGAACATTCTGAATTAATATATTTTAGGATACTTGCACGGAGATCCAGCTGAGATAATATTTTTCTCAATAAATAAATTTATTTATAAATTTTCAACATATCTCTCTCTCTCAAGATGTCTTTAATAGATGCCTATTGAGCATCTATTAAAGATTTAATTTAATTGTGATATTACTACAAGTAGTTTAGCTGCGTTTTAAATCTGAAAAAAATTAATTCGGCGCGCAACTGCGTAGTTCAAATAACCACAAATATAGTATATATGTATGTACAAATTCACATAGAATTATTTAAACATTAAAGATCCAGCTTCGATCGTTATGGGACTTTATTTCCTATTGATTATGTTTTCATATGTACGTTCCAATTAAGATTCTTATTGTTTAATATATTTTAGTTCCTAATATACATATATTTGAATGCCTATCATTAACGCTCATATCTTCTACCTTTCTATGGTTATCTCTCGGCAGTATAGAGATAGAACTTACAAATTTATACATATAAAGATACATCGATGAATATTCCGAAAGCACATTTCAACCTCTAATTCGACGTATTGTAGTTGTCCACATTCTAACAACCAACCTCCCGCTTCCCTCTTCTCGATAGTACCGCCGAGCGTGTCGGAAAAAAAAAATCATGGATCGCGGTACCACACACGATTCGATTATCCCGAGGGATACCGCTCCCTTTATCGCTCCCGGTTCGCGCCCTGATCGGGAAAGCCCCCGACTACCCCGCTACCGCGCTGTGCTTTAGAACAGTCGATGGAAATAATTACATTAATGGCGTCGCCGACAAGAGAGCGGCACAACCCGGGCGCCACCTCTTCCCTCCTCCCTCACTCGGAAGGCATCCCTCGAATGGGAGCGGAGCAAGCACCTCGGCGGAAACGTAACGCTCCCTGCACCCCTGCCTAACGCCGCGCCGCGGCGCGAATTGTACAGAATGGCGCGTTCGCACCATCTCGCGCGGCGCGGAGCGGCGCGAGCAAACCCGCGCGAGCTTTCTTCGTCACAATAGCGTAATGCCATTCTCGACGCGGTAACGCGACAATGGTGCCGCATCCCGCTGCTGGAAAGTAATTATCTTAATGTTCTGACGAGCCGGCGCGGAATGGAGACACTCGCTGGAAACGACGACAACGCCGACGACAATTCGTCGTCGAGAACGATGGGGGAGGAAGGGTTGGTGGCTCCCGGGGCGGATTCGTCTTGCATCAACCCGTTCTAGTCGCCGGGAACGGCGAGTGTGAAATGCGATCGATATGGGAAAACCGCGAATCCCGATGGTTCGCTCGTTTGCGCAAAGTGACGCATTTAGTTGTATTGTTAAATTAAATTACATACACAATCTCTTGCACTAAGCAAAGGCTAGAACAGATATTTCACATAGGGTAAACTAGGGTGTTATGACCATACGGGAAAGATGGCCATAGGCCATAATTTCTCCAATAATTGATAAATAGTGCATTCTTAAAGATAATCAATATTTACAGTAGTTCATATATATGAGTACACTGTTCAAAATAACAATACTATAAATATTATCTAATATTTTTTCTTTCGACTATCTGCAAAGTTTTGCACGTGTCTGCTAAAAACTGTTATAATAAATTACAATTAAGCTGCTATAATCAACATTACATACACAATAAAGGTATGTAAATTGCAATGTGACCTATAATTAATACTTTTATTTTCACTATTTATTTATAAATACTATGACTATCTTTCTTAATATCATGGCCATCTTTTCCCTAAGAATCAGATAAGATGGCCAATGCATACTTTGTAATATTTTGATAAAATTAAAGTTCTATTAAGTATTTTCTCTTTAATTTCGATAGTATTTGTTACTTTAAGCTTCAGTGAAAGTAATATCCCAAATATTGTTAAAAAGTAACAAGAATAAATGTATGTTTTTTGCATTTTAAAAAACTATGGCCATCATACCCGAGTTTACCCTATTTCGTTTGTTTCCAATCTTTCTCATTATGACAAAATAATTCTCATAAGATTTGCTTACAAATGTAAAAAAATTTGCAAATTTATTGCGCATTTATTATGCAAAATTGTTTAGCATTTTTCAATTCGATAATTTAGTTGAAGAAGCCTCGATCTTACATGGTCAAATCAATATTCACGTGGAGAGGAGGGAAAAGTTTTAATCCTGATGTATAGTATATACCGCGCTGTCAATCAACCTGATTCATCTCGACGTTGATTCGTTTAGGATAAAAAGAACGAGTTTCTTCTTCGTTCAACACAGTAATGTATTTTCTGGGAACGCTTTTCTGATGATATACGTACGATATCAGAACACATCTGTAAATCCCCGCGATTCATGTGCCTCGCGAGCGCAACCTCACTCCCGATCGATTATACGGAAAATTGTGCAGAATCCGAAGGCCTCGACAGAAGAGGAATCCATAATTCCATTGGTGCGCCTGCAAGCGAATGATCCTTTGTCACAGGTCCCAGGATGATGGAAAGAGGGTGGTACGGAACCAGTCAGAGAGAGAGAGAGAGAGAGAGAGAGAGAGAGAGAGAGAGGGGAGAGAGAGAAAACGCACGTTTTACCGTGACCACGCAGTTCGTATTAACCCCCTTCTATTCTAGCACCCAATCCCTTCCACCCCTCTCGCTCGCCCTTCTCTTTCCGATCTCAATTAGTCATTACGTCTCACGGCATAGCGATGCCCTTCTCGAAACTCTCTCTACGTCCGCGCTTGGTTTCCGCATTAATTGCGTCTCGACGACGCGCACTCCCCCTGCCCTCTCCCTTTATACAGGGTGTTTTCAAAAGGATTAGTGTCGACGCCACGAGCCGCATAATTCGACCAAAACTCCTCCACCCTCGGAGAAATCAAATCGGTAGCTAATCCGTTCTTAACTCGAATGCGCGCTCATCAAATCTTTGCGGAGCTTTCTGAGAATTGTCGGAGCAATATTTCCCGAGCTGTCTTGGTACGTTATTAATGACGTCATCGTTTTGTCTCCGCCGAAAACGATTTGAATGCTTTTTTAGATCCGTTTTCCTTCGTTTTTTCGAACAACCTTCGAGAAGGAGAAAGAGATTCGAGCGCAAGGTCGAAACTTAACCATTTCCGTATTCCGAGCGAAACCGAACCTCGAGGATCTAATCCACTACATTGCCTCGAGCGCACCCTCCGGATTTCTAAAATTTCCGTCCGGCTCTTACAGAAGAAACACCCCGTAGATCGCACACGTGTGCCTACCGTGTGCACGCGGTGGATTTCAGCGCAAGTCGTACGAACGGGTTCTAGGGTTGCACTTGGTCGACCCTTTCCGCTACCCTCCCTCTGTCCACCCCCTTCCGCCCTCTTTCTCTCTCTTCGTCCGATCTCCACCGCCGCTACAACCCACCCATCTACGAAACCTGGGAGGCAGTCGCTAATTACGCAACGCGTTCGTGCGTGCTCTTCGGGGGTGGCGACGTGGCACCGCGATGGATCCGGATTTCTCTCCTACACTCCCTCCCCCCTCCTTCCCTCTCGCTCTCTGTCGCGCACCCGTGATCTCGCACGGGCTCTCCCGTGCCCTTACTCTCCCTATGTTACACCCTGTTAAGCTGCGTCCCCAACGAGCGAGCACATAATTGGAATTAACTGTAACAGCATTAAAAACATATATTTATTAGTAAGTTTTTTAATTCTATAAAAATGGAAATTTATTGAATTACAAGTAAAGAATGTGAATCAGGCAATGTTATAATTATGATAATTACAATTATTCGAATTATTGAAAATTTCAGATTATTAAAGACTTTTGCAATTTTTTACCTGTCTGAAATATTCAAAAATACTTAGCCCTGAGAGAATCTCTGGATTTTTTGCAACAGTGAAATTTTAGCACCCTGGAAGTGTACATAAATGATCTCTCAAGAGAGCGTTAGTGCGAACGGAGCTTTATCTCTATCTGCTTTCACACACCTTCGCGATCGTCCATAATCAGCCAAACGCAGCGCTTCACCTGCTGCGAGCTAGCAGGACAAAGCTTCCAGCAGTTCCTGCCGGTTTGACATCTCGTCTCGTCGGTCGAGCAATCAACTTAATTTGCAGGATCAATGTCGGGAAAGTTACGTGGATAATCCCCCGCACATCCGAATTACACGCTCCGCCTGTATAGAAAAGACGTTACATCGTCAAGCTGGGAGTATTATTAATTAGCTGTATCCTAATTGCCATCTAAGCCAAGTTATCTGATTTTTATTGCTTATCGCGTAAGATCGTAATTATTCTGAATCATTAAACGTCTTGAATTGACATGATAAAATTCTAGATTTTTTGTAACAAAATCTTTAATTACTTCGGAAATTTATTTAAATATAATGTGCGTATAAGATCATAGCTTAACAGCTTATTAAAGTTCCTATTTACTTACCAGTACCATCTCAGCGATTATGACGTCAGCAAGAATACATACAATAAAAATGTTCACAAATCATTTTTGAAATGTTATAGAAATACTGTAAAAATATTTATAGAAGAATTATGAAAATATTAGAGATTTACAGAAATATTTT